AAATTTTGAGATAAAGGACATACGAATGACTTTATTTAGGATGTGGAAGTTACATAGATTGAGACGGATGTCACGCATGCAGAGCTGCCATCTTTCTCAATGAGAAATAATAGCTGACATAAGGGTAGGTTGAAAAAGAATTCCATATCAGTTTGTTTATTAGATGTATCACACAGTGAAACAGTATTATTTACTGGATGACATTTCGAACAAAATTTATTGTTTATCGTGGATTATGAACAACAAATTTTGTTTAAAACACTGTCATCCAGTAAATAATACTGTTTCACTGTGTGATACACCTAATAAACAAACTAATATGGAATTACTTACTACCACAGTGCCCAAGTTTTAAAAATATATTAATAGGTTGAAAAAGAGTTAAGAGTGTAAAACTTGGGCACTGTGGTAGAGCATAACTCCATTATGGATAAGATTTTATTTTGATAAATCACACAGTGTTGTACAGTAATATTAACTGATGACCACGTTTCGAGCACAAATTATTGCCACTCATAATCATATCAAGTCACTCATACAACTTTCTTCCTTCATTTATATACATGTGTGGAATCGATTAGATATTGGAATAAAAATCAATATAGGATAATGTACATTCAGAAATAATAATATGAGTGTTATTAATCAAATACAATCAGATGGGAAATAAGACAGTTTTTATAGTCAAAATAATGTTACTTGTTAGAATGTTATGATGTACGTGAATTGAAATAGAATTTTAAGATTATTTATTATCCTCCTCTGATTTGACTGACTGGCGGTAATAATATCTTCCATATTTCTGGTATTTGCATTGAGTCATTTCTGTTGCATGTGTTGAGTGTAGACTCAATGAACCAGGCAGAATTCAGTAATCAATCTCTCTCTCCACCTACATAGATTACTTCTTAGAATCTTAACCCTCTCCCACCATGCTATTGTGTGGTTGTGTGTTAATGCGTGAAGTGCAATTGCTGAGCTTTTTTCTAAATTACTTATCTTCTCGGGGTCAACCATTCTTACCTTAGCTAAATTTTTATGTTCCGACAATCTGATTACCCCCGATCTACTAGTTTGACCTATGTAGTTGACCTCACAGTCATTGCAGGGTATTTTGTAAATTATATTATTTTGTTTAATTGGGTCCACCGGGTCTTTTAACCTACACAGCTTGTCTCTGAGTGAGTTTGTGGGTTTGAATGCCACCCTAATTCCTGCTTTATTAAGAATCCTACGTAGGGTCTCAGATGTCCCCTCTTTATATGGTATAACAGTAGATGCCTTATATTCTCTCGTATTTATGTTATCATTACTAGTTTCACAATTATTTTTATTTTGCTTTTGGCCTTTACTGATCTTCCTAATGAATTTTATAGGATAGTTATTTGATACCAACGCTTCTTCTATCTGTTTTATTTCATCATTTAGGTCTTTTTTGTGCTACTTAGTGCTACTGCTCGGTTTGTTAGACACTTAACTAAGCCTGCCTTTACAGTTAACAGATGAGACGAATTAAAGTCTAAATATCTATTAGAATGCGTTGGTTTTTTATAAACACTAGTGTGTAGTTTACCTTTTTCTATTCGTTTTATTTTACAATCTAACATAGCTAATTCTCCTTGTTCATTTTCCGATTCAAATGTGAATTTTATTCCATCTACAGTCAACCAGTCAAATCAGAGGAGGATAATAAATAATCTCAAAATTCTATTTCAATTCAAGTACATCACAACATTCTAACAAGTAACTTATTTTGACTATAAAAACACTCGTCTTATTTCCCATCTGATTGTAATTGATTAATAACACTCATATTATTATTTCTGAATGTACATTATCCCATATTGATTTTTATTCAAATGTCTAATCATCAATTCCACACATGTATATAAATGAAGGAAAGAAGTTGTGTGAGTAACTTGATATGATTATGAGTGGCAATAGTTTGTGCTCGAAACGTGGTCATCAGTTAATATTACTGTATAACACCACTGTGTGATTTATCAAAATAAAATCTTATCCATAATGGAGTTAGGAGTGGTCAGGTTGAAACATGTCATCAATCCATGAAGTCTTCAATTGTTGCTTTGAGCTATTTAAGGAGGTGTAGACTGTCTAGTCAGGGTCCTCGGGATACTAAGAACCAGTGGCTGCAGACTGTTGATGATATGGCTCAAAACTCTTGTTAATGGAGTATATGTACACAGTACTACATTGAAACTCAGTCAGTCAAACAGAGAACATACATTAATGTCTCTTTTTTCATCAAAGTTACTAGACTTAAGGTAAAAGATAAAACGGAAAACAACTTGAGGAAGCTGCAGTTGGACACAGGACAATAAGTACATGAGTGAAATTTGGGTACTGTGACAGTGCATAACCCCACATTAGATAACTTTATTTGATATAACACATATTAAAATAGTGTTATTAACCAAATTCGTTTTCGAACGTGATTTACTGCTCATGATCATATCAGGGTATTCACACGACTAACCCATTTTTTTAACCATTCTATTTATATTATACTTATTTTGTATCGCCTCAAAATGTTGCAACTTCATGGACACTCGTTTATGTTATGCTGTACTATAAATTATTCAACTTATATTAAACGGCTATGAGATTTGAGATTTTCAGCCTGAATGTCTTTATTCAGGCCCACAGCAGCTGCTTGTCTTCAACTACTGCCTTTTCGATACTTTGATCAGTACATATTTCTTCAACTTTGATCACCTTAAGTTTTCAAAAAAAAAATAGTGAAGCATCCAATGGAAACTACTCAGCATTGTGGGATAATAGTGTAACACAAAAAACCCCAAGTGAGACATCTCTTAAAATAACACAGATTGCTATAGCAGAAAGTCCAAGTAGATCTCTGAAAATTTTTTTAACTTACCTTAACATCTCCAGTTGATGTGGGCGCCAAAAGCCTACGGAGTTCATCTATTTTCCCATTAATACTTGCACGATAACGTTTTTCAATAGCATTATGAGGTGCTCGTTTCGTAGTATCATTATTTTGTTCAGAATTTTCAGTGTTTACTTTGACATCTGGAAATACGATGATGAAATACAAATGCATACAAATTTTCACGTAAAATATGATTACGTCAATAAAACAAAGCACACTATATATAAACATTTGAAGTAAGGTAGTAAAAGCATCAATGGTTATATGGTAGAATGCTCGCTAATCACACACGTGGTCCAGGTTCGATTCTCGGTCAACGCACACCTAAACCTTTCCTAGTCGGTAGTAAGTCCAGCAGAGGGAAGACTGCGAGAGAGGGACTAGCAACCCCCCCCTGTAAAAATAACACCGCCGCTAGTGAAACTTCAAAGCTGAAGTTTGAAGTCCTAGGTCCTACTAGGAATGAAGAACGTCCTAGGGGAATATACATAGTATTTCATTCGGAGTTATATTCGGAGTGAATTTTCGTACAATTTTTATTTAACCCCTCAAGGTATTTTGTTTCAATTACTCGCAAAGCTTGCTAAAACAAAAAGAAGTGGAAGTCAAAATTTATGGTAGATAACAGAATAATAATTTGTCTTGTTTCACTACATTTTATAGCTGAGCAGGAAAATTTAGGAATGAGTTACACAGGATGCAGATAAGCAGGAAATACCATTAAATTCTGTGATATCAGAATCATCAAATGATGACTTCTAAGGAACTGGTTGATTGCGAATAGTCATCAATGACATTAGTACTTATCACTAACTAAAATTTCTAGTTTTCTTTGTTTTTGTTTGCCTAAGACGATCGGTCTTTGACAGCATATCAACTCCTAGGACACAAACTGTCTGTGATGACATACCAAAAAACCACTATCCAATTAATTAATTTGCTGTGTAAAGCCTGTCACCACTCACATCCATGGCTGTTGCTCAGCGGTTTGGACTTTTGACTTCCAACCAATCGGTCAGAAATTCAAACCCTGCTGCACCTACCGAAGTTTGGGAAGCCAGATAGCATCACGAACCATCTCACACAATAGATGCGGCTTATGGCAAGCTGTGCATGGAATCATGAGTGGTTACTGCATAACATTATTACTGACATTCGTAGCCATGGGATATTACTATTTTACTGCTAAAAGCCAGTAGGTTTTAGAAGACCTTTTACTTTGAAGTCTACTGAGTTTCCCATAAGAATCCAAAGTTGGATGTGGTTTTACGAGACTCAGTACTAAATTAGTGCTGTAGAAAAGATCCCAATGGCAACGATCATTGAAGGTTTTACAGACATGAATTCCGAGTTAGTTATGTGATGCAGTAATGCATGTACGTGCAATAGGGCTATATTTGTCAATCTGAAATCAATAGATGACCATATCTCTTTGGAAGCAACCAAAGTCTCATATGCAGAGAAATGAAGTGAAGTGAAGGCCACTGAGAAGATGGTTGCTTATCATGTTTACAAAATTTTACCACTAAAATACAAATGCTTAATCCCATCTTCTTGAAACCACTCATTTGAGACAAATGGAAGGAGAAACATAAACAGAAGTGGAATTTCGAGTTACTACCTACCGCACATATTACCCTTTAAATAAAATATACTACAAAAACACCGTCTGCAACACAATATAAACGAAAGTGAAACATCCTTAGGCATAATGATTAAATTCCTGACATTAAGAATGAACCCACCTTTTTCCTCACCTTTATAGACTGAGAAATCTGTCTTTTGATCACCAGAGTTTGTTGAGCAATACTGCGCAGAATATGGAGTTCCCAAGCCACATATGCCTTTGTTGAGATTAACATTTTGTACTTCTGAATTACACAACAGTTTGGATACCAAAGGCACATGAAATGTATTTTGAACAGGTGTAGGAACGTGAGCATATGGTTCAACCTGAAGACAGTTGGAACGGTCTAGAGAGATAGATTCCTGCGTAAATCTTTGTTTATTAAGACCGTCATGTCCATCGACAGCAGTTAAGGTGTCTGGTCCTGAGACAATTGAAACATAAACACAAATAAATTACCTGTATGTGTCGTAATAACACCTGAAACTGGCTTTGACTTCACTAACGATTCTACAGTCTTCTTTTCTGATGACTGGCATATTGCTCCATTATTCACATTTTTGAGCTCCGAACTGTCCAAAATGGTGGACAAATCGAAAGAGATATCATTTACATCGATGTCATCTAAAATGCTTTCAGAAATGTCATTAAACAGTTGTTCATCGAATATATGCGACAAAGTCACTAAACGTATATGAATAATTGGTTGCTTGAATATTAATGTTACCTGGCTCCATAATTGTTGCAAATAACAACAGTTCCCATCCAAACTTTTAAGTACTTCCACCTCCTACGAAACTAATCAGGAAACTTCGGGCCTGACAATCAAAGAAAGGTGATTGATAAAAAAGGCCCGGTAGTATTACCAGACAAAAGCTGGTAAGTTTGGTCAGATAATACCAAATTGCAATGTAAGGCTGAAAGACAAGAAAAGGAAGTATTATGAAGCATTATGACGGTGAGATTTATTTAAAATTCCTTTGCAACTGAATGCTGATACTGTGAGCTTTTCATAAAGTACCCCAAAGAGGAAATAAAACTAAGGTAATGTTCTATATAGGGGTTCAACATAATAACTGATACATTTGCACACTACTAGCATTTGCATCCTCTTAACATCAATATACCCGTCCTGTAAGATCTCATTACAGTATTAATTACGATCTATCTGTGTCTTCAGCATTAGCTGCACATGTATCAAGGCTAACACCATCCGATAAGTAACACTTAGTTCATTTCAAAAAAGGCCAACTCACGAAACAAAGCCAGGATTTCTAAGCAAGTGCTACAATAAAATTTACACTGCCTTAGTGCACTTCCCTTATCACAGTACGGTCATTGTGACAACCTTTAAGGGCATTTGTTTAATTATCAACATATCAACAGGATTAAACAAGCTTGGTTTCGTTCAGCGTACTCCTCAATAACTTACCTTGAAATGAAGCGAACGGTTTATAATTTGCGCAAACTTCGGAACGAATCCAATGCTCAAATTATCCAATATCCAATATCGTTTTTACGAGCTAGTATAAACCACTCTGATTTCTTTATACTAGCCTCTTGAATGTGAGGTATAGGTTCCTGGTATTCGGTAAACTTCTGCGTAGCTCCTCCTACCACTCGACTGTCGTAGCTTTGGTTGACTCCAAAAGGTGTCTGCAAGAAATTCATACCATTTTTACCGGCACGATCATAAATTAATACTTTCTCGAAAGTTTAAATTGTTCAGATATTGTACAAGCAATCAGAACAGGTTCTTATAAATGTCAAATAGTAAGCCCTACACTAGGGTCACCAGCAAAGCTGGGCGACAACCTGTTTCCTGCTGATAGTAGTGGTCAACCAGTGAACAGCGTACATCTGGGTGAGTGTTATGCCGTCACGTTATCGAACGCTATTTCAGGAAGAAAAGAACATCCTTGGAAGCTGCAGAGTGGTATAAAAATACTATTATGGATAATATGTCATTGAAAGTGCATTTACAAGATATATACAAGAAGGAACTGACGACTCCTTGGAATGATAGTATATATTCGCAATGTTTGATGCTAACCCTATTGGTCTAAGCATGGAAACTATGATGTTTTCGATGAAAATATAGCTTTGTTCAAACATTGTTAATGTGAAGACAATACTTCTGTATTTCCTGATGTGTTGCACTCACTGACAATCTAGCAGATTTTCCCAACTGTGCACAGAAATGATTGTATATAAGTGAAAAGGCTGTTTTATACTACTGGGATTAACATTTATCAAGTGTATGTACAATCTCCAGCGAACATGTAAGGCATATCTTGCTACTGCCTGTAAATTGTGATTGAATTATATGGTTCTATTTCTGTAACAATTTGATGATGCCTGTAAACTGGCGTCCCTCATGTACTGTACTATGAGAATAAATTTATTTATTTATTGGTGATATTGTGTTTTTAATCAAAGCAACAAGACTTTAAGGAAGCAACAAACACGCACAAAGGGTAAGTTTTAGCTTTAATAAAGGCCTAGTTAGTTAAGATATAGCAGAGCATAATAGTGCGCAAAAAAAATTATTGTGAGGTAGGTAAGTGATGCTTAAGTGAGGAGTGGATTCAAAGATCTGGAAAACTAGAACCCGTAGGACATGGAATAGGATCTTGACAAAAAGCGGAACAGCCTTGTGGATGATAGGAGCAAAAGCATTTTTATAATTTTTTTTCTGTACAACCCTTGTTTTTCTTATTTTCCTAAGAACCCAGACCGGTGTTTAATTTTCGAGCTGTCGAAAAATGCATGTTGCTGTCCTACAGATCGCATTGATTCCCATTTGCGACCACTATCACATCGGCTGATCAGCATGCGCCACCCTTCCTCCCTTTTGGATATTATGCTTTGAGATTTTTTGCAATAGCTGTAGTTGCAACATTGCATTGCTTTGAGCCCATCCCAATCATACAGTACCCTGCACATTAATAGCTCATAATTTGTGCTCGAAACGTCATCAGTTAATATTACTGTGTAACACTGTGTGATTTATCAAAATAAAATTTTATCCATAATGGAGTTACACTCTACCACAGTGCCCAAGTTTTATACACAGTTTTATACTTATATCAGTTTATTAACCTACTTTTGGGAAGTTTGTCTATTTCTCCTGGGTTATGCAGTGGCTAAATGGCCCGCATTTCTTTGTTTCTGAGGCTTAGATTTTATAAATCTTGAACTCGGGAAGGGACGTAATAGCAATTAGTGGTGATAAGTCATAATATCTATAGTATTTTATCGAGTGCTTACGTAGACTTCTCCTTAACGATGTCGGAATATAATCGCTTTTGGGGAATCTGAAGCTAAGAATCTTCTCAGGTGCAATGACGTCATGGATTGAGTTAATATTGTGATAAAAATTGTTAAGAAGTGCCGCTAAGGACTCGTTCGAAAAGTACGAGTCCCAATTAGAACATCTAATCAAGTGCTGATACAAGTCCCAGTCAGCATGTGTGTATACTATTATAGGTGTCTGGTCAGCTTCATCTCTGCATTTCGTTTCAGGAAAAATGTTAAAAGAACACACTACTATTTAATGGTTAGTACCTGAAAATTCATGCTTCGCATGTACTGTAGATGGTGTTATGCTGTTCGTGAAGATAAGGTCTAGGATGTTTGCGGATCTTGTGGGACAATCTATGTGTTGCACCCACCCTCCTGTGACGATGGAATTGAGAAGATTATCAAACCTTTAGGGTTCTCAGGGTGAGGGCCATGATACTTCTGGAATGTTGAAATCACCTTCAATAATTTTATAACTGAAGGGAAGATTGGCTGTAACATTAAAAGCGTTGCTGAGTGTATAATCATACTCCCTGCTGGTTGAAGGTGGTCGGTACACACAGGCTCCGTCCTTCTCTATGGCGGTGAGACGTGGCCATTGAGAACGATGCAGGTGGAAAGAGTAAGTGGTGGCAAACAAAGACATGGGAAGCCCCTGGTCGATTCTGGCAGATATTGTTAACAAACAAGGCTGAAATCCGCAATCAGTCAGACCGATTTATACAGTATTAAATTCGTTATTTGTAATTCTTTTGATGATGCATCTCAAGTACTAGAAGTCTTGAACAGCGCCCATCCAAATATCAAGTTTAAATGGAGCATGAAAAGAGGAGAAGTCCATTTTCTTGACCTAGGTATCCAGAAGAAAAAAGGATTGTGAGAACATTATTTGATCGTGTAAGGAAGCTATGTTCAGAAGAAAAGATTGAGGAAGAGCTATCCATTGTGGAGAAATGCCTACGCGACAACGGTTACCCACAAAAGTTCATCGACAAGTATGGGAGACGTCATGAAAGTGAAAAGCAGACAGTAGAGAAAGCCTATTCTGCTAAGTAGAATAGGCAACTGACGCGCCCTGAAAAGAACATATCCAGCCGCCAAGCTTGTATGCGTTTATCAAACAACTAGTTGTTTGAGACAATCAAAAGTGGACAAATACCCACCTCATATTACCTCCAACTGTGTCTACCAATTTACATGTACGTGCCAAAGCACCTACATCGGAAGAACAGAGAGAAGGCTTAATGTCCGCATTTCTGAACACATACCAAAGAACCTGAGACTGAAAGGTCCACAAGTATTAAACAGTGCAATTGCGCGTCATCTATTAGACACTGGTCATGATGTAGACAACTTGAAGTCATTCAAAATAATCAACAAGCAAAAGAAACCTAACTTGCTACGCTTTGCTGAAGCAATTGCTATCAGACGACTGAAACCAAATCTATGTACGCAGAAAGAGACAGTGGTGAATCTTGCACTGCCTTGGTGACAAAATATATATATAACAGCTTGTTTTTGTTTCCAAGCCTAATTGCCTAATTATTCTATAAATATTTATAAACTGTCAAATATTGATCACAGTTCATTTGAATTATTCTATAAATAGTCAGTGTTTGTAACTCTTAATTAGTTAAATCATTCCGGACTAATGCTACTTTTACTTCCTACCAATTACTCCTTGTGATCGTGGAAAATTATGTTCAAATCTTTAATGTAATGTAATTCATATTTTTCATCGTTCAGGTTGTAACCAGTTGAGATGAATCCTCGAAATAATAAAAAATGAGCTCATATTATCCTGGTACAATTGTTGTTCTTGCTTTGTTCAAGTTTACTATTTTTACTTGTGTGCTATTTGCGTGGCAACTCGAACTGCTGCACTTCGGTGCCAAGTTCTATGTTGAATCCAGCAGCGGCAGCGAGTACACACAGCCCACAAGTATGGGTTTACTTCTGACAACTTTTATTTCGACCCAGATCGAGTCACTGAGTTGTGACAGAATTGGGTTGCTGAACTGGGATGCACACATGGATTGTTCACAGTAAATTAGTGTTCCACCCCCACGGCCTACCTCTCTGTCTTCTCGAAAAACTTTGTAGTTGTCAATTCTCAGGCTGTCACCGGAGGTTTCACTTGTGCACCAGGCTTCAGTGATCATAATCAATGACGGTCTGCATATAGAGGCTAATGTACTTAGTGTTAAGTGTTTGTTTAGAACTGACCCAATATTTACTAGGATAATAGATAAGCCCTGGCCATATGGTTTCAGTGAGTGGACAACATCTTGATGAAATATTCCGTGAATATCCTCTGTATACATGTTTTTAGACTCACTAGCCATTATCTTTGATTCATGGGGAGACTTCAGGCAGGTCTGTGAGGTGGTAGTCAGGGGTGGTCTGTCGTCTGGATAGAGTATGCAGTGGGAGA